AGTAAAAAAAAATAATAATTTTTTTTTTTTTTTTTAAAGAAAGAGGCATTGGTAAGCCAGTCGTGACAATGTCCCTCAGGGAGGAAGTGTCAGAAAAGCAGAGTGAAGGAAGGAATGTGGGTGGTATGTAGGGTGAACCCAGACACTGTTTGGGATGGTAATCATGGTGACAAGGATGATAAAAGCCAGGGACAGGCAGGGGCACAGTTGGACCTACACAGGGAAAGGTCCTGGGTTCACATCCTACCACCTCCCTGAGCACACTGGGTGTATGTCCCTGTGACCTAGGCCGGCTGAGGCTGGGGTAGATTGTGGTGTGAGGACCCTGTTGGGAGCGACTGCCTCTCTCTTCCTCTCCTCTTTCTTTCTCACAGGAAAAATAAATGAAAACCTTAAGTAATGATAAAAGCCTCCATTTTCAGAGCTCTGAGTAGGAATCGGGCAGTGTGCTAAGTGCCTTATAAACAGGAACTTAAATTTCACAAGCACCCTCGCAGTTTCTGAAGCTGGGACGCAGAGGTTAGGAAGATGAAGGAGCTTGCCCAAGCCTTCCAGGTGGCAAGCTCAGAAGCCAGCACGGGACTTGCAGGTCTGATCCCAGCAGCAGGCCCTAGCCGTGATGGTACTACCCTCACATGGGCACTAGAGGGCAGCCAACTGCAGTTTTCCCAGGTTAGGGGCAGCTGCCCAGGCTCATTTTTCCTTCTTTAGCCTGGATCCCACTGACCTATCACGGGGTGTACTTTGACAGAGGAGCCCATGGAAACGGATGTCAAGGACTTGTCCAAATTGCTATGCATTTCCACGCTCACCGGACACAGCACCAGAAGATGAGGGGAGGCAGAGACACTGAGGGAAATGGGACAGGCTAGAGCAGCCCCACTGGCCGCCTATCCAGAGTCGGAGGCTTGTTTTCCCCATACCCGAGGACAGAGAAATCTTGGTAGCTCCTGGCGTTGGCCTGGCCTGCTATGGGACGCCAGCCATGGTGCTATTTGGGAGGAGCTTTGCCATCAGGAAGCAGAGGAGATGCCACGTGGTGGCTCAGCTGTACCAGAACTGGACCAACGTGGGGAAGGTCCTGAGACCTCGCTGAACATGCTGGGAGCGCGTACGCATGCCTGCGATCTGCGCTGGCTGAGGGTGAAGGTGGGTCATTGGACGGGCACCCTGTTGGAAGGACCTGTCTGTCTGTCTCTCTCATGGAAAAAATAAATAAACGTGAAAGCAAGCAAGCAAACAGAGGACCGCTGGGGAGAGCGTGAGCAGAGACAGCTGCGGGTACCCTGGCCCTCACCCGTGGCTCCAGCACGTAGTAGTAGCCCAGGGCCCGCGCCTGGCAGGTGAGTTTGCACTGGTCCCGGGGGGCCACACCTGTGTAGCGAGGGACCCAGTCCATGGGCCCTGGGAAGCTCTTGAAGAGGTCCGTGCGATGGTTGTAGGCAGCGCACTGCTGCTCACGGAAGGTCAGTGCTGTGGGGGTGAAGTGGACGGTCAGGGACCCTCCTTTGACCCTCAGGCAGCACGGCACCCCTCTCCCCCACAGACGGCCAGGGCAGCTGCCAAAAGTTACCATCACCATCCCCTTCCCCCCTCCCAACAGCAGGGACAAGCAGCACCTCTGCTGTCCCGTACTCCAGAGACGTCCTTCCTCCTGGACCAGCCCTCCCGAGGGCTCCCACCCTCCCACCCCTCACCTGAGCCAGTTGGGCAGTCCTCAGGCCTGCAGGAGCGAAAGCGGGTCCGGCGACCCTCGCAGTACTTTCCCCCATTCCTGGGGACGGGCCTCGTGCAGTCCCGGGAGGAGAACTGGACGCCGCCCCCGCAGGTCCGAGAGCAGTCGCCCCACGGTCCCCAGGGACCCCAGCCACCAGCCTGCGGAGTCTGCAGAAGCACAAGATGGAAGGTGAGATCAGTGTGCTCTTCTGGGGAAGGGCCGGTCCCCCCTCCCCCAGGACCTGGGATCTCACGTTGAAGTCCTGGAGCTGATCCACGTGGAGGCAGCGGCCTCCCATGCAGGCCTGTGCAGGCCCACAGGGGGTGCCATCGGCCCAGGGAGAGTGCTTGGTCTGGCACATGGCGTGGCCATTGAGGTGGCCGGAGCACCACAGGGCCACACAGGGAGGCGGCAGCTGTGGACAGTGGTGTGAGTCGGGCCCGAAGGTCAGTTGGCACTGGCGGTCTGCGTCATAGTCCTTGCCGGGGAAAGTCACGGGCAGGTGCAAGGGCGCCTCCGGCTTGTCTAAAAGGCAGTGTCCTGGAAGGGGGTTGGGGCACGAAGTCAGCAAGGGGAGGGGAGCTTTCAGGACTTCCAGCTGGAAAAGCTCAGGCTCCCTGGGGCTTCAGAGGTCCTGGGAAAAATCCTAGGGCTGTAAGAGGCTTTACATTTTGTTTAATGGCCAGAGGGCATGTGCAGTCACCAGAGACAGAGAGGGGATGAACACACCCCTGGTGGGAGCAATGATCCCTTATCTTCCATCTCTCCATCCTGTTAAGATTAAGGACACACATGCACGTATACCTAGTGTGTTTTTCAAGCCGCTGGGGCTGGGATTCGAACTGCATACTTGGCCATGTGGTATCCATCTCCCTTAACCTCTAGGTAACCAGACCACTCCCCTTCCCCCTTTTTAACATTTCCTTCTTTGTTCCATGAAAGAGAAAGAAAGAGAGCAAAAGATAGGCCTCTTAAGAGGGTCTTCATGCTACGATCTACCCCAGCTTCAGCCAGCCAGGATCAAGGACACGCACCAGCATATACAGGGAGACTTCGGGACAAGGTTTAGAACCAGGGACCTTCCGCGTAGCTCCAGCATCATGGAGTGTTGTGCTGGCCTGGAAGAGGCTTTAACTAGCTGCTATAATTTATTGGCTGCTTCTGACTTGTGAGCACTGGCACTATCCCAGTTCATTGCGGCTAACACCTAGGAGGTGGTCCCATGGCTCTCCCTATTTTACATGTCCACTGTGGACAGAGAAGCGAAGTAGCTTCGTCTTGCATCTATGTACAATGGAAGAACAGAGGCGGCGTAGGAACCCAGCCCCTGGGTCTTCCCGCCTGCACTGACTGACGGCAGAGTTCTGGAGCCTGCTTCTCACCGACGGCCCTGCCTGGTGTATTGTCCTGCTGTTCACTGAGTGACAAGGTGGTCCCCTTCTTCACGGCCAGCACACCCCAGTGTGGGACAGCTCTGGCCCTTAGGAGGTCAGTTCTATAAAAATTCTGCCGTGCTAAAACGTGCCTCCCCGTGTCATGCCAGTGATTCTGGGAGGATGCGGGAACTGCAAGAAGACAAGCAGCTTCAGTCGCCCTCCTGACGCCACACAGCAAGCACACGTGGGAGCCCGTGTGGCCGTGTGCAATGCAGCAGAAGTGAGGGTACTGTGGGGGGCCGAACCGAGTCCTGGCCAGAGAAAGGTAAATGCCATCTGCTTACCATAGCCATTATCCAGGAAGTCAGTGATGAAGCGGGCGCTGCAGGGGGACCAGGGCTCCTCGGGATCCACGTGAGCCATCACAGGGGCCATGACATGGCGGGAGGTGCTCCCAGGCCCGTTCAGACTAGCACACGGCTTGGAGTTGTCATGGAGCATGTTGAAGACGTGGCCTGTGAGAACAGACACCCTGCTAGGTGCAAAGACCCCATCCCTGTACCCTCAGGGACCCCATCCTAACCTGGCTGCGCTGTGAGTGGGCAGATCCATGCTCCTCCCACCCTCTCCCACCCACTCCTGCATGGCTTCGACATGTGAGCTCCAATACTGTCTCCCCTTTCCCCAAACACACCTGGGGCCTCTCCCTACCCTGTAGCTCACATTCCCACCCTGGAGCCCCCCCCATTCCCATGCTGATGCTTTGAGTAATATCTCTCTCCATACTGCGTCACCCCCTTCCCAACACATGCATACACACACACTCGCACGCACGGCGTTCCCAGTAGGTTTCCACGCACTATTTTATTTAATAGGAAAATCTAAATATTTGTCTAACCCGGAGCAGAGAAGGGAGACAGCCCTGGGCCTAGGCCTGCAGAGGAGGAAGAAACACCTTGGGAATCCTATACGTGCCCCAGTGAGCTCACCAGCTCCTCGCCTCGTCCCCGACCCCTCTGTCACTCACCACAGCTACCTGTGGCCCCAGCCCCTCACCCAGTTCATGAGCAGCGGTGAAGGCCGACTGGAGCCCATCATCTTCCACGACGGCACAGCTCCGCGCCGGGTCACACACTGTGCCCACATCGGCCATACCCAGAGTGTCGCAAGTGGAGACCCCGCACAGGTCCTAAGGAGAGGGCACACGGAAGAGGCTTGGGGTCCATCGAGGTCCAGAGAAGTGGGGCCTGGGCACTGAGTGCCAGCACGGCTGTGCGGCTGGGGCAGGAGTGCCGCACAGCTCCAGGGGCACCATAACATCGCGGCCTACGCGGTGCCACTTGGGCTGTGCAGTGCGCAGCCTGTGGCGCTGGCCGGGCCTCACCTGACGGGTGAACAGGATGGCCGTGTCGAAGTGGTCGGGGTCTGAGTCCTCAGGGGTGTTGAGGCCCCGCTGCCAGGCACAGAAACTGCGCAGCGTCTGGGCGGCACTGGGTCCCACCTGGGGCCCCTCCTCGCCTGACCCCAGGATCACTAGCCGAGTGACCACCAGGCTGACGGGGTTGCGGATACTGGGGTGCTTGAAGGCCTTGGCAGCGGCTGCCATAACTGTCAGCAGGTAGCGCTTCAGCCCTGCTCCGTGAAACGCCGCCATCTTGTCGTCTGCCACCACCAGGGTCTCCACGAACCTACTCAGTGAAGCAAAGCGCTGGAGAGAAAAAGGAGGAGGATCCTGAAATAGTTCCCAGACCCCTGGCTGGCTGCTGCCCTCCCTCACTTCCTGGGTCTGGACGGCCAGGGCCAGCTGGGCCCCACATACCCCAGGGATTCCTGCCTGAGGGCTTGGTCGGGCCCTCCCCCAACCCCAAATCCCAGGGCTTTTGCCATAAGTCTGAGGAATCAACTGTTGGTTCTGCCGAGGCGCAGGGGGTAGTGGGCCCCAGAGGTGGACGGCAAGGGGACTGGCTCCAGGAGGGGCTGGGGGTCCCCAGGCCAGAGTGCGGCTGGGGCCTGGGGCCTGTGGGACCAGGGTGAGAGGGCTGGTCTGCAACGTGTCTGCCCTGTGTGGTTGGAGGAACAATTCAGTCAGCAGCTAGGGCCCCGGCCAGATCTCAGCGTGGCGGGGGTGGAGGGGGCGGCCGGGGCTGCAGTCAGCAGCTAGGGCCCCGGCCAGATCTCAGCGTGGCGGGTGTGGAGGGAGCGTCTGGTCTGGATTAAAGCTAGAGGGGGAGGCGGGAGGAAGGAAGGGGAGAAGGGGGGAGACTGGGAGTGGGAGGGAGTCAGGGCTACAGCCGCAGGCAGCCCACAGTGTGGGAAGGGGGCTGGCCAGGAGGAGGTATGGGATGCCTGTCCTCCCCTCCACACCCCTGCCCTAGTTTGCCAGAACAACCTTAAAGGCACATCAGAAGCCAGAGGCCTCAAACTTCACTCCTCTTACTGGGGGCGCGGTGGGGGGAGGGGGAGATCAAGTTTGGGGCAGAGAAAAGAGCCAAGACCAAGGGGCTGTTCAAAAGAGCTCTCTTAGTAGAGGATTCACGGCCAGGCAGGGGTGCGGTGGGCAGGGGGAGCAGTCATTCCCAGCCTGGAGTCTCTGCCCCACTTCTGGGAACTCTCAGGGTCACCAAGGTCTGGCTAGGAGAAGGGCTGGGGCAGGGAGAGGCCAGAGCCTCCCCACCAAAGGAGGCTAGTGGAGGGAGTTAAAGCAGGAGGGAGGGAGGCAGGATGGCCAGAAGTGGAAGTGGGTGGAGAGGCTGAATGGGGGTCAGTAGGACAGACATGGCGGGGGGGGACGGGATCCAGGGCTGCCTACCTTGGCTCTTCGGGGGCTGGGGCTGGGGCTCCTGGGTGGAGCTTTGACGTTGCACATGGGCCCCTGGCCGCTGGCAGGACTCTTCCGGCGTAGGATGTGAGCCCCGGGCCCCCCGGCAGAATTAGGGTTGCCTCCCTCCAGGGGCTGGAGGTGCAGTTCGGCCCCTCGGTACTGCAGCACCCCTAGGAGGGCTCCTCCATCCCAGTGCAGAGACGCCACCGACTCCGGATCTCCGTTGACGGTGCCGGTCAGGTAGGTGCCCGGCTCTGCCCCGCCCAGCAGCTCGGGCGCCTGGCCCAGGTACTGCACCGTCAGGCCCTCGACCCGCACGCCAGGGTCCTGCTCCAGCTCCAGCAGCAGCGTCTCCCCGAAGGCCCGCAAGCGATACCACAGCCTGGCCGGGACGCCTGAGTCAGGCAGGACGCTCCCGTTGAGCTTCTCAGGAAACACGATCTCCTCCTCCCGAGGGAAGGGGCTGGCCGGCCGGGCGCTGGGCAGGAGCGAGACCAGCAGCAGCAGGAGCAGCTGCTGCAGCAGCAGCTGCTGCAGCCGCACCAGCCCGGAGACCGGCCCGGTGGGGACCCCCAGGCGGGGTGGCACTCTCCGCAGCCAGGGACGCGCCAAGCCCTTCCCGGGATGCGAGCCCGTCGGGGACATGGCACTGGTGCTGCAGCTGGGAGGGACCAAAGCCATCCGAGGCACCCAATCCTCCACACCCTGACTTTGGAAAGCCTCTCTCCGCAGCCTGGGGGCTCGGACTCCGGCCAAAGTCAGAGGCAGAGTTTTTAGAGGGGCTGGACCTTCAGAGGAGATGGAGAAAACTTAGCCCTTAGGGTTAGGAGAGGTACCGGGGTCTGCCTCCTCTGCCCTGGAGCTCTCTCCTCGCCTGTGTCTCCGCAGCTCCCTGGCCTCTCCCTCTGTCTGACAGCCTGGCTTGGCCCCCTGCTTGTCCTGTCTCTGCCTCCCGCTGCCTTTGTCTCTTTCTCTCCTCCTGTCTCTCCTGAGTCTATGTGTCTGTGGGTCTCCCCTTGAGTTCTTCCCAGCCTCTTCTCCCCGCCAGCTCTTTTAAGCACCCGACAGAGCCTCTGATTGGCTGATCCACTCAGCTGGGAGCTCTGTCAGTGGGGGACTCAGATGGGTGTATCATTGCTTCCCAAAATCCTAGTTTTTGTTTTCCTTTAAAAAAAAAAAAAAAAAAAGGAACTTGCCCAGGGGAGGGGCTTTAGCAGCCGGATGGATTATAGGCAGGGGGCCAACTGATGACATAGCCTTTTCCCAAACCCCATGATCAGCCCTCGGCTGTCTCTTTCAGACCTTTTTGGTGGGACAAGCCCCAGGAGACGTTCGGAGTCACAGTCCAGTCGGGGAAAGGGCCTGGACACGCACAGACAGGATCCAGGTCCCGGGGGAGTCCCTGCTCCTGTCTAACCCGGCATGGCTGCCCCTTTCTCAAGGTCCTTCATGCTGCCCTCTGCCCCTAGAGGCTGGTTTCCAGGGCTGAGGGGACTGTGCGGGCTGCCTCGGCAAAGAGGGTGGGGGCAGGTAGGGAAGAACAAAGAGGACAGAGCTTGACATGGCTCAGGATGGGGCAGGCAAGGAGACAGGGCCGGATAGCCCACCGTCCACAGGTAAGATGGCTCCATTGTGAATGGACTAAGCGTTTTTCCTTTTATAGAAGGAGCATCCAGGTGGCACCTCCTCTTCTCTCTCTTCTCTTCCTCAGGATCCCCCTTCCTGAGTTATCACCACCCGCCCCCTCAACCCAAACAGCCATTCCGCCTCCATTTCCCCCCAGGGCTCCCCTCCCCACTTCCTGACTCCCCATTTCCCTGGCCCAGCTCCCAGTAGCTTCCCCAGGCTCTTTGCCCTGCTCCTACCCACTCCCACCTGCCCTAAGCCCTCCCCCAGCCGCAAGCCGGCCAGCACAGCTTGCTCTCTCAGAACCCAGTTACCAGGGCCACTCAGGGAGTCCCCACCTGGCTCCTCCTTGGGCCCCACCTTGTCCTGAGAACCCAGTGTTCCTGGAAAAGTAGTCATCTATTCTGCGGGCCAGGGAGAGGGTGGAGGCAGCATTGTGCATATAGGGAAATTCGGGTACTGGGAGAAAAGAACCCAGGGTGGGAGAGTGACTGGGAGGAAGAGGGGGTGTTAGGGGACAGAAGCAGATGATCTCCTTAGTTTTGGATTAGAGAAGACTCAGAAAAGAGGTCTTGGGGGGTAAACTCTTAAGGCAAAAACGTGAAGGATTCAGAAATAGGGGCAATTTCTGTTCACCCCACCCCACTTCCCCAGGACATCCCCAGGAAGGAGAGTGTAGTCAGCAGTCCCTTCCCTTTCCCAAGAAGGACCATGTCCCCCTGCCCCCAATCCCCTATTCACACTCCCCTCTGTCACCTCCTGTCCCCCACATCATATCCTCCAGAAGGCTTCCTCTCCCCCTCCCTTCCTGCTCATGTCACCCACACCTGCCCCTGTACCCATCATCTCCTGTACCCACCCCGCCAGCTCACCTCCTGACCTGGATCCTAAGTGGAGGGGGCTGAAGCTGGAGGAGTCAGACGAGAGACCAGAGGGGGCAGGGGCAAGAGGAGCCATCACCAGAGGACTCTCACTGCCCCCTCCCACCCCCTATCCGAGATGAGGACAAAGGGGGTGACTAAGCAGTGGAAGACAAAGGGCCTTGGAGTCTCAGCAGCAGTGTGTGGGGGTGTTGGCAGCAGGCAGAAGCCACAAAAGATGCAGTGTCCCAGGCAGCCCCCAGGAGCCCTCGCCCCTGTCCCCGCTCAAGCTGCCCCTAGGGCCAGGCAGCCCGGCCTATCCTGACTTCTCCCGGGCTGGATTAAGGCAAATAAATGCAGTTCCAACCAGTCCCCCAACATCACACTTACTGCTTCAACTAGAGAGAGAAAGAAGGCCCTGGGAAAGGTGGGGAATGAGGGAGGTGGTTGGATCCTCTGCCCTGGCTGCACAGTGGTTGCCTAGTCTACCCCAGGGCCTGGTCAGCTCTCACAGCCAGGGATCTGGCCCCACCCTTTGGTGTGGTTCCCATTAGGTCAATTCTCAGGCTAGAAATCTGGCTTTCCAGTCTTTCTCTGCAGCTAAGAATTCCCCGTCTCTGCCATTCCCAGGTTTGTCTGCTCCATCCTGCTGTAGGGGGCTCTGTGTCAGGGACCCTGTCTGGGACAGATTTAGGGAAGACCTCCATCTAGGTCCAGGGTAGGAGACTTAAACTCAACGCGTGGGTGGTTGGTTGACCCAGCCGAAGCTGGGCTTGGAGCCTGAGGGAGAGAACAAGGACTAGCCTTCAAGGCTGGAAAACTTGGCCCACACTGGCGCCCATAATTGAAGTGGTGGCTAAGAGGGCTGGGCTCCCACATGGCTGACTGTGGTTCGAGTCCTGGACCTGGACCTGGCAGCTTGCTTTCTCAATTTCTCTCTCACTCTGTCCCTTTCTGGTAAAATTTAAATAAACAAATTAATAAAAATTAAAAGAAAACTTGGCCCACACTGAACTGGGATCAGGCTGTTGGGGCTACAATACTTTTCTTGCTATTGGTCACCTCCGAGGACTGTGGCAGGATCAGAAACACATATGGTAAAAAAGACCTAAAGAGGGACCAGCAGTTAGTGTAATGGCTATGTTGCTGTACTCCCATGTAGTCGACTCTGGTTTGAGTCCCGGATCCGGTGGCTTAAAACTCACACCAGGCGCGTGTGCGTGTGTGCCCAAGATCCTGAGAGGAGAATGGAGAAGAGATTGCGGAGTGGCCCCCCCCCCCCTTCTGTCTCTCTGTCTCTGTCTGGCGAGCGCAGGCGCCCTATAGCAAAAACCTCTCAAAAAAAGACCTAAAGAGACTGACTCAGGACGGAGGTGGGGTGTGAGGCGCTTCCTGGGTCTGTGATTCTGTAGGTTCAGGAAGCCTGAAGGACATTAAGGTCACCCAGAGGATTTCCCCTCCTATGCACCCAGGCACTTCTCTCCCCAAAATGCTGGTGGCCTTGGCATCCTATTTTTTGTTGGGGTTTGGCGTTAACTAACTCTCAGATCTACCCAGGCCCAGGCCCTTTTTCCCTCCGGATGCAGGACATCTGGAAGTTGGCTGGCTATGCCGGCTCCGATTCTTTCGGATTCAGCGATGGGGAGGTAATTGGCAAAGCCTGGGGCTACCCCAGAAGAGGCTGGGCTAAATCGTAATCCCCGAGCAAGACTACAGTAGGAGGGCGGCCAAGGCGGAAGGGAGTAGGCAGAGAACGCCCGCGCTACTGTGCGCCGGGGACCGGGCGGGAGGGCTCGGCGACAGAGCACTGGCAAGAGTGGCGAGTTTCGCTTCTCACTCTGATTTTAAAAAATCCGGCGCGGAGCCGAGGGAGCAACTGCCCTCAATAAAGATGGCTGCAGCCCCCTGTCATTTAAGCACAAGTGAAGCCAAGGCGCAGAGCCCGGATGTTGTCCGCTTCGCAATTGAAGATCCCGCCTCTTCCAAGAGGTCGTCTCCGTTGTGCCAATAGGCGAGAAGCCCACAAGAAGGCACCCAGGAGTTACTTCCGCCCGGTTCTCCTTCCCGCAGTCTGCAGCCGGGGTAAGATGGCCGCGCTGAGGGCGCTGTGCCGCCTCCGGGGCGTCTCTGCCCAGGTGCTGCGGCCTGGAGCTGGGGTCCGACTGCCGATTCAGCCCAGCAGGTGAGACCGAGGGCAGCCCTCGATGCGCCTTCCCCGGACTTGGGTTCTCCAATCTGAGGACACTCCAAAAACCCTGTGACCCTCTGGGAAAGAATGACCCAGGCCTGTGACCCCCCTGGCTGGGGCCTGATTTCTCAGGCTGCAGGATGCCCTGGCGCCCACTCTGGCCGAGAGATGGAAGAGGGTCTTGAACTCGTTCTGCCCCCGATGAAGCCAGTGGAGTGGGAAAACCAGCCCCTCATCTAATTGACTTGACTTGAGTGCACTCCTGTCATACCTCAGCAGAGCTCAGCCAAGGAGAGGGTACCATCTCTCTCCCACTGGCTGTCTCGCCTTATTTTGGTCTTAGGTTGACCTCGAATAAACACCTCTCTCACGTTCACATTCCCCTGGATAGGAATATAAACATGATGAAAATGTGAAGGAGCGGGGATCTCCAACTTTGCGTGCATAGGGGTGATGGGTGAAGTGATTCCAGGAGTAAGTTGTTAGTAGGAATGGAACCTCCAGAGTTCCAGCTTATTTTGCCAAAACGACACTAACTCTGTGTCAGCATGGAAGACTCGGAGACATCCTTACCTGGGCCCACCTGAGAGTGAATGGGAACAGAGGAACCAGGCACTGTTGAAACCCTTTGTCTAGGATCTGTCTTTGATTCTCCAGAGGTGCTCGGCAATGGCAGCCAGATGTTGAATGGGCAGAGCAATTTGGGGGCGCAGTCATGTACCCTACCAAGGAAACAGCCCATTGGAAGCCTCCACCTTGGAATGGTGAGTGCCCAGAGCTGATAATCCCAACTTGCACTCTTTCTGCCCTAAGCTAGTTTCTTTGTTTTTCTTTTCTTTTTCTTTCTTTTTTTTTTTTTTTTTTTTTTTTTCTATAGGGTATGTGCACTGACTGGAGAGAGAGAGAGCAAAAAGGAAAGTAAGAAATCACTCCCCAGGGGGTTGGCCATGCCACAGTCCCTTCTCCATTTTCCTCTTTGGAGTTTGGGCGTATATACATACGCACCCAGTGTGATTTTCAAGCCACTGGGTCTGGGTACTTGAACTGTGCAGTTGACCATGTGGGGATCCAGCACTTTAACTTCTTTGCCATCTGCTGGCCCCCTAAGCTGTTTTTCAAGTGTTCTTGAACTCTCTGTCTTCAGTGAATTTTAGCCCCTGTCTTGTTTGCTTCTTTCACCACAATTCAACAAGCATAATTGTGTGTCCGTGTGTATATATAGTACATATATACACACACGTGTGTGTTTACATATATATATAAATATAGCTGATGTAAGTTATATACATATACTATGTCCTATATGTGTTTATATTTGTTGTTGTTATTATCATTGTTTTTTGCTGTAGGGCACAGGCACTGGCCAGGGAGAGACAAAGGGAGAGAGAAAGTGAGAAGTCACTCCTCAGGGAGAATAACCACTTCACAATCCCTTCTCTGTTCTTCTCTTGGGATTTTAAGCAAGCACAAACAGCCACCTGGTGTGTCTTTCAAGCTGCTGGATCAAGGATTTGAACTGTGCAGTTGGCCATGTGGAATCCAGTGTCTTGACCCCACCATGCCACCTGCTGGCCCCAAACATAGTAATATTGTTAACAAGTATCTGTCAGGTAGAGAAGGAAAAGAAAGAATGATATTCCGAAAGATAAAGATCACAGACAATACACAAAAGTCACTGCCAAATTTAAATCTTTTTTTTTTAAAAGAATTATTTTATTTACCTTTATTTATTAGTTTGTTTTCATTTAACCAGAGAGAGACAGAGTGAGAGTGAAAGAGAGGGAGAGTGAGAAAGCAAGCCGCCAGGCCCAGGACTCAAACTGTGGTTGACCATGTGAGAGTCCAACACCCTTTATCACCATGCCACTTGCCAGCCCCAGTTTTTCCCAGGTTGAATACATTTCCAACTCCCTATGTAGACAAGGTGGTTTCCCACTGGCACTGAAATGAAACCCACCTGAATACGAATGACTGTTCCCTTGTCAAGACCAGCTCCTCCTTTTGACTTTGATTTTGACATTGGTATCCTCAGTCTCCTAATTCACCAGTATTGAAACTTTTTGTCATCTTTGACACTTTCTCACCAAATCCTGTAGAGTCATATTTCATACCTGATCATCTTCCCTTCTCAGTTTCCGTTGCCATCACTCTTGTTCACCAGATTTATCTCATACCAGACCTAGATTTTTTTCAGTTCTACTCATTTTCTGCCATTGACTTTGTCCCCTCCCCAGCTGTCCTATATAATGTCTTCATCTTCATTTTACTTTATCATTCATTCTCTTGCTCAAAATCCTGCAAAGGTTTTTCAGAAACTTACAGTGACAATAGCTGAGTGCCTGCCATGTGGTAAGCATTTTTTTATACCTTATTTTACTTAATCCTTGCAACAACCCTGCGAGACTATTATCCTAATTGTGAGGAAATTGCGGTATAGGGAGATTCAAACTTGATCTACTGGGGCCAGCAGATGGTATGGTGATTAAGGCACTGGCCTCCCACATGGCTGATCATGGTTTGAGTCCTAGACCTGACAGCTTAATTTCTTGCTTTCTCTCTCAGTTTCTCAGTCCTCTTTGGAGAGCAAATGTACCCTATAGCATATTTTAAAATAACAATTGTGGAACCAACAGTTGGCGTAATGGCTATGTCGCTGGACTTCCATGTAGTTGACTGTGGTTCGAGTCCTGGACCCAGTGGCTTAAACTCATGCTGGGCGTGTGTGCGTGCGTGCCCAAGATCCTGAGAGGAGAATGGAGAAGGGATTGCTCTGTGGCCATCCCCTGGGGGATGATTTCTCACTTTCTGTCTCTCTTTCTATCTTTCTGGCACATGTACACGCCCTAAGCAAAAACCTCTCCAAATAATAATAATAATTGTGGAGAGCATCCAATCTAAGAAAATATGTGACCTTTAGATGCATGCAGAAACATACTTCTGTGAGCTTCATTAATAATGGCTGCGAGGAGGGACTAGCAATTGGCATAATGGCTATGTTGCTGGACTCCCATGTAGTCAACCGTGGTTTGAGTCCCAGACCCGGTGGCTTAAACTCACACTGGGCCTGTGTATGTGCCCACCCAAGATCCCAAGAGGAGAATGGAGGAGAAAGGATTGCAGCGTGGCCATCCTCCCTGGGGAAGGGGTGTGTGATTTCTCACATTCTGTCTCTCTGTCTGTCTTTCTGGCGAGCGCACACACCCTATAGCACAAACCTCTCTCCCCCGCCAAAAAAAAGGGCTATGCAGGGCCAGCAGGTGGCATTCCAGTGCCTTAGCTACCATATGGCTAACCACAATTCGAGTCCCGGACCTGATGGCTTGCTTTCTCTCTGTCTTTCTCTGGCAAAGCTCATGTGAAAAAATAATAAATAAGTAAATAAATAAATTAAATAATTCTTAGAAAAATGGCTATGAGAGTATTATTATTTTTTTTTTGAGAGGTTTTTGCTATAGGGCACGTGTGCTCACCAGACAGAGAGACATAGAGACAGAAAGCGAGAAATCACCCCCCAGAGGGGATGGTCATGCCGCAATCCCTTCTCCATTCTCTTCTTGGGATCTTGGGCACGCACGCACATGCGCCCGGCGTGAGTTTTAAGCCACTGGGTCCGGGACGTGAACTGCGGTCGACTACATGTGAGTCCAGCGTCACAGCCATTACGCTAACTGCTGGTTCCCAAGTATTTTTATACGAAAACACTATCTGTCATTTATAAGCTGTAAGCAAAAGTAACATTTGTATTTATGTACTGCTGGTCCTTATAACACCAATCCTTGACATTTTTGTTCTCATTAAACTGTCCAATACCTACTCTAAAAGTTTTTTTTAAAAGAGGGAATAATTGGGAAAATAACAAAAATCTGTTACTTATATAACCACATAGATAAATAATTTCTGATATATCACTTTTAGAACTCTAGTTTAATGAGAAAAAAAATGTCAAGGATTGGTGTTATGTAAAAATCAGGCATAAATGCTAATGGATAAATGTTACTTTTGTTTATTGCTTGCAAACAACAGATAGTGTTTTCATTTAAAAATACTCTCATAGCCATTATTAATGAAGCTCATGGAAGCACATTTCTGCATGCATCTAAAGGTCACATGTTTTCTGAGATTGGCCGCTCTCCACAGATAATAATAAAAAGTAAAATTTGAGTCGTCAGAAAAGTTATGACGCATTTTTGCATAGAAAAATACATCAGAGGGACCAGCATATGGCATAATGGCTATGTTGCTGGATTCCCATGTAGTCGACCGCGGTTCAAGTCCTGGACCCGGTGGCTTAAACTCACGCCGGGCACGTGTGCACGTGTGCCCAAGATCCCAAGAGGAGAACAGAGGAGAAGGGAGTGTGGCTCCCACGTTCTGTCTCTCTTTCTTTCTGGTGAGCGCACTTGCCCTATAGCAAAAACCTCACCAAAAAGAAATAAAGAAAAAAAATACATCATGATTTCTCTGACAACGACCCAATAAATAAATAATACTTGGGGTCAGTAGATGGCGTAATGGTTACATTGCTGGACTCCCACGTATTGACTGAGATTCGAGTCATGGACCCGACCCGGTGGCTTAAAATTTACACTGGGCATGTGTAAGTACGTGTGTACCCAAGATCCTGAAAGGAGAATGAAGGACAAGGGATGGTGGCATGGCCATCCCCCCTGGGGGGGGTGGGTGATTTCTTGCTCTGTCTCTCTATCACTCCGGTGAACATATGTGCTCTATAGCAAAAAAAAAAAAAAATTTTTTTTCTAGAGACTTTTGGGGGATGGCCATGCTACCATCTCTTCTCCATTCTCCTCTTGGGGTCTTGGGCATGCATGCACATGCCCCTGGTATGAGTTTCAAGACAGATCTGGGACTTGAACCGTGGTTGACCATGTGGGAATCCATTGTTGTAACCATTATACTATCTGTTAGTCCCTAAATAAATAATTCTTTGAAAAAAAAAGAAAGAAAACTTGATCTAGTACACACAAACAGATTTGTAGTGAGGTCTGACTGACTTCAAAACCCATTTTGAAGAATTCTGGTTAAAAAGGCTCAGGACCAGCAGTTAGCATAATGGCTATGTCGCTGGACTCCCACTTAGTTGACTGCAGTTCGAGTCCCGGACCCAGTGGCTTAAACTCATGCCAGGCGCGTGTGCGTGCCCAAGATCCCAAAAGGAGAATGGAGGAGAAGGGATTGCGGTGTGGCCATCCCCCTTGGGGGGTGATTTCTCACTTTCTGTCTGTCTCTCTCTGTCTGTCTGGTGAGCGCACGCGCCCTATGGCAAAAACCTCTCCAAAAAAAGAAAAAAAAAAAAGAAAGAACGGCTCTAGTTTCATTCTCAGCTCTTCATTTATCAGTGAATAAAGTACCTATTTCATAGCATTTTTGTAATGATTAAATGAGATGATACTATAACAACATATAGTGCCTGGTGCATATAAGCCCTCTGTAAATGTTAATAATTATTAGTGAAACTGATAATTGAACCGCTATCCCCTACTGTCTCCAAACACTAATCTTCTGTGTCTTGGGAAGTCCAGATAGAGTTCCACAGATATTTACATTCTTGTTTCTAAGATTTGGCCTGTGTTGGTTACATAGCCTGGAATGCCTCTTCCCTCTGTCTTTTTGAATCATTTCTTAGAGTTAAGCTCAGGGCTAGCCCTGTAATGTAGTGGTCACATGTTTTGTCGAGGGAGTCAGATCTCTCATGACCAGCCGCAATTTGAAACCTGGCTCTGGCAGCTTGAAAAACATCCTGGGTGCGTGTACCCACACAATACTGGATTGGATGGAGAAGTGGAGGAAAAAGGATTATGACTTGATCATGCCCATTAGGGGATGTTTTCTCATTTTTTTTTCCTTTTTCTTTTTTTAAAAAATTGCCAGAGGGCATACGCACTCACCATAGAGAGAGAGGGAAAAGGAGAAAACACTCCTCCATGAGGGATGGTCACCCTACAATTCCTTCTCCATCATTTTCCTCCTTTTGAGATTTTGGACACACATGTCTGCTTGGCATGTTTTTCAGGCTTCCAGGTCTGGGATTCAAATCGCATGGTTGGCTGTGTGGGATTCAGGCATCTTAACCACCACACCATTGGCTGGCAGGTGGTGCTTTCTGTCTCTTTCTCTGGAAAGCACACATGTCTTCTTGCAATATAAATAAATAAATAAATAAATAAATCAGAGGTCAGCAGGTTAAGTCACTGGACTCCCACTCAGCCAACCACTGTTTGAATCTCAGATCTGGTAGCTTGAAAATCATGTTGGGTGCATGTGTGTGTATGTGCCCAAGATCCTGGGAGGTGAACAGAGAAGGGATTGTGGTGTGGCCATGCCCCCTGGGGGGGGGTGATTTGTCACTTTCTCTCTCACTGTCTCTGTCTCTTTATCTCTGGTGAGCACATGTACCCTAAGGCAAAAATCCACTTTCAAAAACAAAAAGAGGGACCAGTGGGTGATGTGATGGTTAAAGCACTGGACACTCCCACGTGGCAGACCATGGTTCGAATCCTGGTCCTGGTGTCTTGCTTTCTCACTTTCCCTTCTCTCTCTCTCTCTCTCTCTCTCTGGCTCTCTCTGGTCAAATTAAAATAAACGAATGAATCAATAAAATTAAATAAAATAATTAAAAACAAAACAAAAAGTAAAGAACTGCTATGTCTCACACAGTTGCTCTATGGGGGAGTGGCCATAGATTAAAAAATAAACAAAAATAAACACACAAGTACACACAAATAGAGAAAAGCAGGGAACTCCTCTGATGGAGGCAGCTGCAGCCCCAAACTGTTCTCCTGTTTATTCTTTTAAAGGGCAGAAAATGGGGGAAGTGGAATGCAAAGCCAGTTATTTTCAGCTGTTAATCGGCTGAAGATGAGAGGATCTCTGGTGCCATGTAGTTCTAAGCAAGTTTTATCTTCTAGGGCCTTTTCTGAATAACACATATGACTTCAACAGATACTGCCTTGCAGTGTAAACAGAGGCAGCTAAGGTATTCACATGTTAATGGTGTTCATCGCCTTACAAATGACTACTCAGGGAACCTTGTTTCTGCATGTGTTTAAAGGTCACCATCCTGTGCACTCCCTACAAAGAACAATTCAGACTATACCTACCTGATGTCTTCTCAGTGTTGTTTCCTTCTTTTATATACTTAATGGATGGGACCGCAGGAGGCATGGTGGTTAAGGGCACTCCCACATGGCTGACTGCAGCTCGAGTCATGGACCTGGCAGCTTGTTTTCTTTCCCTCTCTCTTTCTCTTTCACTCTGTCCCTCTCTGGTCAAATTAAAATAAATAAAGTTAAATAAACTAATTATTTAAAAAACAACAACAACAAAAAAACCCTGTCATTTAGTGAGGTCAGCAGGTGGCATGATGGTTAAGGTGCTGGACTCCCATGTTGTTGACCATGGTTCAAGTTCCAGACCTGCTGCCTTGCTTTTTCACTTTCCCTATTTAGCTGTGAGTGCACATGTCTTATGGCTAGCTAGCTAGAAAATAAATAAATAAATACATAAATACATAAAATAATAAAAATGTGTGGGGACCCTGAAGCTTAACAGGCTGAGTTCAAATGCCACTTATCAGCTATGTGATCTTAGAGATGTCATTTAAGCTCTGTGGCCTCAGTTTCATCAATAAAATAGGGATAATAATAGTAACTACTATTCATTTCATTATTGTAAAGATAAAACCATTTTTTAGAGGTTTTTGCCTTAGGGCATGTGCACCCGTCAGAGAAAGAGAGACAATGAGAGGGAAAGTGAGAAATCCCCCCCCCCGGGGGGGGATGGCCATACCACAATCCCTTTCCTCCATTCTCCTCCTGGGATCTTGGGCACACATCCATATGCACCTGGCATGAGTTTCAAGCCACTGGGTCTGGGATTCGAACCACAGTTGGCCATCTGGTAGTTCAGCAATGTAACTGCTACCCCATCTGCTACCCCAGAACAAAGCCATTTATAAGAAGTGCAGTGCTGAGAACCAGCAGTTAGCGTAATGGCTATGTCACTGGACTCCCACGTAGTCGACCGCGGTTCGTGTCCCAGACCCAGTGGCTTAAAACTCGCTCCGGGTGTGTGTGGGTGCGTGCCCAAGATCCCGAGAGGAGTATGGAGGGGGAGGGATTGCGGCGTGACCATCCCCCATGGGGAGTGATTTCTCTCTTTCTGTCTGTCTCTCTGTCTGGCGAGCGCACGCGCCCTATAGCAAAAATCTCTCAAAAAAAGAAGTGCAGTGCTGAGAGTAAAGCCTGGCACATTAGGGCTACAGGAGCGTTACCTATTACTACCAAAAAGGTGTGGGAAGCATGGCAAGAGTGGCCCAGCAGGTGTTGTGGTGGTTAAGGCACTGGATGGTGCCTTAGCCATCCCCTCTGGGAGCCACTTTCCCCCTCTTTTTCTCTCTCCATCCAGTATACCTGCCCTGTGGCAAAAGTTCTAAAAGAAAAAAATAAGTGTGAGTTTCCTGGTCCTTTTCCTTTTTCCCATCTAATGGTCCTCTTCTTGATTACTTAGTCCAGTTTTTACATTGTTAATACCTCAGAAACATCTCAGACTGGGTCATTTAAAAAGAAAGTAGGAGTTTATTCACAAAAGTCATAATTCTGGGGCTGCCGGGTGGCGTGGTGGTTAAGGGTGCTGGACTCCCACTTGGCCGACCACCGTTCAAGTCCCGGAACTGGCAGTTTGCTTTCTCACTTTTTTGCTCTCTTCCCCTCTCTCTGTCCCTCTCTGGTCAAATTATAAATAAATAAATAAAGTTAAATAAAATAATTCTTTATAAAACAAGATGAATGTGATTACATTTTAAAAACTCGTAATTCTGATGGAAAGTCTAAAATGTCTGAAGGCTGCACTTACAGAGCAGACCATGATCTGTGGCTGTTCTGGCCTCATTTCCTCTGCTTATAAACCAACCAGAACTCAGTCTTGAAGGCCCCGCTGATGACCTTATGACACCCAAAGGCCCCACCTTGGGACACCATGAAAGAACTTAATTTTCACTTAGTACCTTGATGGTACAATAATACAGATTCCAACACATGGCTTTCTCAGACGTCCAGTCCCTGCCTACTGAGACCAGATTCTAAAACATGCAACTTTGGGAGGCAAACCATTATCCAAACCATGTCCTGAATGATGTTGGCGATAAGGAAATTGACCAGGCGTGGAATGGCGAGATGGAAGATCTGTAGGAACAGGGTAACCACTGGCTGTTGGGAGTTCCCAAGGGAATTACCATTTGGCTGAACTGTCTCCCACTCCTTAGATGTGGACTCTCCAAAGGATACAGTGGTGTCGAACCTGACACTGAACTTTGGGCCTCAGCACCCGGCAGCCCATGGAGTCCTGCGGCTAGTGATGGAACTGAGTGGGGAGATGGTGCGGAAGTGTGATCCTCACATCGGGCTCCTGCACCGAGGCACTGAGAAGCTCATTGAATACAAGACCTATCTGCAGGTGTGGGGGTCAACAGAGGCCTGTCGTTGGGATCTGGGGATGCTTTAACCTGGGACTTTGCCAGTTTGCTGCCCCCCAGAACCTCAGGGAAAGA